GGAATACACTTCATTTACAAACGATTTATTGGTAATCTCGAAAACCTACTTGTAAACGAATCATATTTAACGTAGTCGATTTCTATAGCAAATACATATTTGCTTTACCGACAATCCCACCACAGAGTGCTTGGTCTTTCTTGAAATTCACATCTGCCATGTAATGTGACCTAGTGGTTAACTTATCGTGGTTATGCCCTGCAGTGTCATGTTTAGAGTCCCATTGGTGGTGTTGATAAGACCTAGGCGAGATCGAAACTGCAGTCCATCCTGGATAAGAATAACAAGGTTATGTGAAATTCAACGGAAACATCTTGTATATTCATATAATTGTGGAAGAATTCAACTATTAGTGCCCTTATCACCCCAAACGAAATAGGATGAATACATCTCATATATATGATCTACTGGCAGTCTCGAAAGTCTACTTAGATACAAACAATTTGCATTTAATCAGCCACTTTTTGCGTTTTAATTTTTACTAGATTGTGTCGGGCAATTAAATTATTAATTATAGAAATGTGTTACTTTTAATCGAATAATTTTTATCTTAATCTAATACAGATTCTCCAAAAATGTATATGTATGTGTGAATTGTCTTGCTAATTATTTGCCTAACTAGCTAATCTAACGGTTTACTTGTTTTAAAAGGCTATAGCATTTCCGCCATTTATCTATTATATTCCAACCCAGAAGTTCTTAAGATTACAACTTTTATATTTTTAACTAATAAAGGCTAAATATACCCATCCTTCCTTTCGTGATCCTATTTGTTTCTTCTTTTAGGTCCTATCCCACTATGGTTCTTTCCTTGTTATCATCTGATTTGGATCAATATGAATGTCTCTTCTAAGGCCTCCTGCGCCTCCAGTTCAACAGTAAACGCTTTCTGTCCATCTTCATATAGGTCCACTGAAGATAGTGCCATCTCTCCGAGATTTCCTGACGACGTTTCTTGTATAAATATAAGACCTATGGTTCAAGCCCGCTCTTCGCCTAAAATTTCACGACTACTCACAGTTGATCTAAACGATTCTTTCTCCCAGTCTCAGAGTATGGAACTGCAATCGGTTCCTGTTATAGGCACCGGAGGAGACGCTTTATTTGGCTTCCCACGAGAACAAAGATCAAATAATGTTTCTGCTAACCTTGGTACAGACTTCTTCACACTTTCCACTTCCTGTACAAATCTCGAAGAGCCTGTATAAATATGATACCTTACTATTATCCTTTTTACTAACCACAGAGATCCCTGCCCCTTATTATAAAGTAACAACCAAGAGTAGTTTGGACATCCGGATTGCTGCAAAATGTAATAT